CACCTGTATGGCCTGCACAGGGGGCAGCGCTGGGGCCCCGTGTCCACCGTGGGCGTGACTGGTGAGTGAGAGCTGGGGCCTGCTTCCTTTTCCTCCCACCAGTGGCCCCCAGCCTTCCTGTGGCCATTGCTCTCCTTTGCTGCAGTGGTAGTATGACCCCTTGCCCCCACCACCTCCTCCTACCCTGCCCCTTACCAAGGGAGGACCTAAAAAGAGCAGTTCGCCAGGGACTGGGCTATAACCAGCTTTGTGACCTTTAACAATTTTAAATTTTCTGTGCCTGTTTCCTCATGTGTAAAATGAGGACAGTAACAGCCGCCCACAGAATTGTAGTGAGGATTAAATGAGTTAACAGACATGAAGCACTAAGAAAGGGCAGGCACAGAGTGCACATGCTGCCAGTGTTGCCACAAAGATGATTATAATTATCCCGAGTCTGGGGTTTGCTCTGTCCTCTTTGGCTGGTTTAGCTGCTTAGGTGGTCAGATGTGCATGAGGCATTGGGCCTCTCCATCAGTAGCTGGAAACTTTCTTTACCACTCATCCAGTGAGTGACTTTGAAGCAAAGAGGGACATCCGTTCCACTCCCTGCCTCGGGCCCAGGTTGGGACCACCTGGGCACCACAGAGGAAGCAGCCTGGGGAATCCCTCCAGGGCCTCAGCAGCTGGGGACCAGAACCAAGGCAGACCTCTGGGACTTGGCTATTCTCCTGCTGACTTGCCCACCTCGGTCACAGGAAGGGGCCTCCCTTTTCCCTTTGCTCACTGAAACAGACACACCTTTTTCAAAACAACTTTTAGTATAAAGAGAAAGATTAAACACTTGAAAGCAGAAAAACAAGTTTTCAGAGCATGGTGTCTGTACTCCCACGAAGCCCAACCTTACAGTGACTTGGCTGGCTTAGTTTACAGAACCTTCTACTCCTAATTTCTTTTTGTTCTTCAGTTAGCTCCATTGTCAGAGTAGGAAAAGTGATGGGTAGCTGGAGCCTGCTGAGCTGACCAAGGGGCTGTGCCTGGCATAAAGCACATGCTGTACCACTGCCAGGAGAAAATATGTCCACAGCCTATTAGAAACATTTCTAGGGGCCTCTGGGTGGCTCAGTCAGTTAAGTGTGTGACTCTTGATCTCAGCTCAGGTCTTGATCTCAGGGTCATGAATTTGAGCCCTGCATTGAGCTCTGCTGGGCATGAGGCCTACTGAAAGAAAGGAAGGAAGGAAGGAAGGAAGGAAGGAAGGAAGGAAAGAAAAAAAGAAAGAAAGAAAAAAGAAAAAGGGAGGGAGGGAGGAAGAAAAAGAAAGGAAAGAAAGAGGAAGGGAGGGAGGAAGGGAGGGAGGAAGGAAGGAAGGAAAGAAGGAAGTAAGGACAGAAAGGAGAGACAGGGAGAGAGGGAAGGAGGAAGGAAGGAAGAAAAAAAACATTTCTAAATTAGAAAAAGATTACATCAAATGCAGCATGGTACTGCCATGCCCATGGGTAGTTGTAGTTCTGCCTTTTCCAGGTAAGCCAAGCCACAACAGTAAGGCTTATTTGACAGTGAGGGATAGTTTCTCTTCCTTACAGAAAGAAGTACAGACAGGGCACAAATGAGCAGGCAACGGATGCTACAGGACCTATCAGAGCTAGAAGGAACATGAAATACAATACCAGCTCTCATACCTGGTACTGAGTAGATGCAGCCACTCCCACCCACCTTAAGCTGCCTTCAGCCCTGCCCTCCCTGCTCAGAATCATTTCTGTCTTTCTGAGGCCTCACCAACGGCCCATTTTTAAAGCAGGTTTTATCTTTCTGGAGCTTAGTCTTATCTTCCTGCAGACGCCAGAGAAAACAGCTCTTGGGAACCACACCCAGCAGCCTCCTCCACTGTTTTACTCCTTGGGACCACCTTCCTTCCAGGTTTGGTCACTATTGAGGAATACCTCCCACACTCAGCTGATTCTGGGGCAGTGGGGACCAACAGGTTCTGAGCTCGGCCTTTCCCAGCAGAGTCGTGCAGACCACTCAGTAATTTAGCAAGCATTTGTGGAGCACCCACAGTGTGCCAGGGCCTGGGGACACAGCCGTGAGCAAGGCTAAGCCCCTGCCCATGGAGCTCACATTCTAGCAGAGGGAAACAGACACCAAACTGCGCAAATCTGTCAGCGCTACTGAACGTGACAGTGATTAGCCCTGGAGAGAAAAGCCAAGTCCAGCAGACGATGGTGAATGGGTAGAAAGGGGGTAGGAAATGGCCTCTCTAAGGGAGGACCTGAAGGAGGGAGAGGACAAGGCACGCGGGCCTTTGGGAAGAAGATCCAGGGCAGAGGGAAAGTGCCCTGACCATTTGTGGGCAAGCCAGGAATGTTTGGAATGGGGGGAGGGGGATATGTGAGAGATGATCAATCACTTGGGACCTCAGGGGCTTTTGCCCTGAGTGAGATGGAAGTCATTTTGGGAACAGGCTCTGACTAACATTGATCGGAGGCAGGATGAGGGTGGAGGAGGGAGATGATTTAGGAGACCCTGGTAGTCCAGTAAGAGCCGGTGGCACTTGGTGCTTGGGGATGGAGGCAGCAGGGCAGAGTTAGTGAGGGGGCAGCAGCTGCTGAAGGGGACAATAGAACTTCCTCACAGGCTAGATGTGGGGTGTGAGAGGACTCGGACAATGCCCAGAATGAAGTTGTGGCTTTGCCAAGGTGGGGAGGCTGTGGACTGAGCAGTTGTGTGTGGGGTGGAGTCTCTGAGCCCAGTTTTGGACTTAATGAGTTTGAGACACAGACCAGGCACCCAACGAAGATGCCAGGCAAACACTGAGTCTGCGGGTCCCGGGAGAGGGGACTTGGAGCACTGACGCACAAGGGAAGTTCAGCCACTTTACCAGGGTCTCAGTGATGGTGCACACCCCTCCCCAGCCCCAGCACAGCCCTAGATCCTGGCAGGGACTGAGTGAGGGGTTGTGGCCAGACAGATGTTGCCAAATTAGTGTAGTTTTAATCAGAACCACCTCGTGGACACCACAAAAACAACAGACATAACTACTAACAAGGGAAAGAGGGGCTTTTCCTAACGGTCTCCCACCGTCTCTGTCAGCTCCACAACCGGAAGAGACTCCAGCCACGGAGCCCCCCCTGGAGCCACACCTGGGAGAGCTGACAGTGACAGATGTGACCCCCAACTCCATGGGCCTCGCATGGACAGTCCCAGAGGGCCAGTTTGACTCCTTCATGGTCCAGTACAAGGACAGGGACGGGCAGCCCCAGGTGGTGCCTGTGGCCTCAGACCAGCGTGAGGTCACCATCCCCGGCCTGGAGCCTGCACGCAAATACAAGATGAACTTCTATGGGCTACATGGTGGCCAGCGTGTGGGCCCCCTCTCTGTGGTAGCTGTGACTGGTGAGTGAGCAGGGATGAGGCAGTCCCCATCTCTGGTTACACAGAATCCTCCCCACCCCACAACCCTCTCTGAGATCCTGCCTCAGAGGCTTCCACAGGTCCTTCCTGAGGTCACAAGCACCTTACTCTGTTCCCTGGCCCCTTGGCGTCTTCCCCAGCTAGAACCTTCCCTGCCCTCCCAGTCCCCATCTCCATTCTGCCCTTTCCCCCAGGCAGGAATGTCTTGCTTCCATTTGATCTAAATCCAGTTGCAGACTGTTTGTCTCCCCTGGTTGCCCACAGCTGTTCCCTTCCTTTCTCTTTACAACCCTGCTGTGACCTGGACACAGCTGCCACCTTCCCCTGATGTCCTTTTTTTCTAGTTGAGCTTAAATGGCACGCATTCCTTGAATCTCCTCTCAGAGGCCCTTAGCACCCTGGGTGCTATAGCCTGCCTTCCTCCCAGAAGTGGCCCTTGCTCTTAGCTTCCTGGGCACAGGTTGCCGCCGTTTCTTCTGCCAGTGTCTGGTGAAACCCATGGACTCCTCTCAGAGCAGGGTTTTATTATCTTTTTTAAATTAAGTTTATTTTTTTAAGTTTATTTGAGAGAGACAGAGAGAGTGAGTGGGGGGTGGGGCAGAGAGAGAGGGGGGACAGACGATCCAAAGCAGGCTCCATGTAGACAGCGGAGAGCCTGACATGAGGCTCGAACCCGTGATCTCAAGGTCATGACCTGAGCTGAAGTCAGACTCTCAACTGACTGACCCACCCAGGCACCCCTCAGAGCAGTGTTTTAAAATACATAAAATGAAGGCATAGGATTACAGAGGAAGCCAATTATATTGATATTCAATTATCAAAATATTTTAAATTCAAATTTATGATTTAGTAATACAGGAACGTCTTTATTCATTAAATAATAAGAGTTAGAGGATTGTATAATAACATACCCACGTTTAGAAGTAGTTGGTCATGAGAGTAAACGGTATTTTGAAGTTTCTGTAGTAATTCTAAGGTGATGGAAAAACATCTGTTGATTCCTAATAGAATCACAATCCAGTAGAATCACAAGTACTGCTGGTACCTCAGTGGTTTGTCACCTATATTCATCATTGAAGGAAATGCTACATTTCAGTTACACGTCAGGGAAAATATGGATGTAACTGTTTCTTATCTTAGTTTAAGGATCCCTTGAGGCCCTGGGAGGCCAGGAGTTCAAGGGGGAAGTTCTCCTGCCCAAGACCTCAGCCATGTTCTTTGTTTTCCTGGATCCTAGCTCCCCTCCCTCCAGCCCCAACCACAGAGTCCCCCCAGGAGCCACGCCTCGGGGAGCTGACAGTGACAGACCTGACCCAGGATTCTGTGAGCCTCTCGTGGACGGTCCCTGAGGGTGAATTCGACTCCTTTGTGGTCCAGTACAAGGACAGGGATGGGCAGCCCCAGGTGGTGCCTGTGGCCGCAGACCAGCGCGAGGTCACCATCCCTGGCCTGGAGCCCAGTAGGAAATACAAGTTCCTGCTCTTTGGGATTCAGGATGGGAAAAGACGCAGCCCAGTTTCCGTGGAGGCAAAGACAGGTGAGAGCCCCCCAGCCCCCCAGCGGCCTTCCCACCATTTTTCACACTGCCTTATCTCTTTCCTTCTGCTGGTCTGCCCTCTGTCCATCTCTTTTGATTGATTTGAAAAGCCACAGTGGGACCCCTGTATGGTTCAGTCGGTTGAGAGTCTAACTTTGGCTCAGGTCATGATCTCGAAGTCTGTGAGTTCGAGCCCCATATCGGGCTCTGTGCTGACTGACAGCTCAGAGCCTGCAGCCTGCTTCAGATTCTGTGTCTCCCTCTCTCTCTGCTTCTCCCCTCCTCACGCTCTATCTGTCTCTTTCTCTCAAAATAATAAATAAACACTTAAAAAAGAAAAGAAAAGCCACACTGCCTGCCCCAGTTCAAGGAAAACGAGCCCAGTTCCTGGGTCTGCTCCGCCGGTTGATTTTTTTCTCTCTTTTCATAATTTCCACTTCTGTTGAATGGGGGAAGCCCCTTCAGAACACTTCCTGGAAGGTGGGACAGACTGGGGGTGCTGGGGGAGGGGTGAAGGGAGCCAGGAGCCCTTTCTGCCTGCCTGGGTCTTGCCGCCATCAACCTTGTGCAGCCGTCACCTCCTGAGAGTTTTGCCATCACCCAGTTTTCTTATGCTACTGGCTTATGCTCATTGCATCCCCTATCTGCAGCCCCCAGAGGACCCTTTCCCTCCTGTGGCCTCTTCCTGGAGCCTCAGAAACTGGGAACCAGAGGAGCCCAGGGCTGGCTGCCCAGCCAGTCTCAGTCAATTCCAGCCCAGCTGTGCCCCTTTCCTGGGTTTCAGTCCAGGCCCTCCCCTGCCCCTGGGGGCTCCCTGATGCCAGAAAACTCTAGCAATAACAATGCTGTCAGCGTCCTCTCTGGCCAAGAAGGCAGTGGGCCAGCTCCTTCTCAGGCCTCAGGATGGCTTTGGGACAGACACCAGATCCTTTCTCCATGTGAGCTCCCCTTCTCCTCCCCCCACCCCAAGTTGGCAGCCCCCACTACTTTCCCAGGTCCTGTGAGGGCCACCTCCATCATAACATCCTGCTTTCCCACCTGCTGTCTGCACTCATTGGGGATCCTGTGCCCCCTCTGATGTCCCCAGGACCCTCAGAATTTCCCCAGGGGCCAGTCAAATCACAAAGGGTAGGCTTCTTGGTAAAAGAAAATAAGTAAACCAAGATGCACCCTACTAGGAAAACAGTCTTTAGTAGGCGGGAAGAGTCTGGAAAGTCGGAGGAATAAGATAAGCAGGAAGCTAGGGATTCTTTTTTCCCGGAGATGTCACACTGGCTAAGTGGAGGGAGGCATGAGCCAGTTGGGGACGGTAGCAGAGATGGGAGGGTGATGGAAATATTTTGGGGAAGCACTGATCATTTGGGCAGTCCTGGGTTTTTCCAGCTCTAGCGGGAAGTAGTCAAAGAGTCATCCTGGAAAAAAATAAACATAAGAATCTTTCCTCTCTTTTAGCTGCCCAAGGTGACGCCAGCTTTGGGGCCCCGCCCCGCCTTGGGGAGCTGTGGGTGACAGATCCCACCCTGGACTCGCTGCGCCTCTCCTGGACAGTCCCCGAGGGCCACTTTGACTCCTTTGTCGTCCAGTTCAAGGACAGGGACGGGCCCCAAGTGGTGCCTGTGGAGGGCCATGAGCGCTCAGTCACCATCACCCCTCTGGACACTGGCCGCAAGTACAGATTCCTCCTTTATGGGCTCCTGGGCAAGAGGCGCCATGGCCCCCTCACTGCCGAAGGCACCACAGGTGAGAACATGCCCTGCAGGGCCAGGCTCTACTCCTGGGACTGCCCCAGGGAAGGCATCAGCAACCTGCCAGGCCAGGGAAGCAGGTGGCCACTTGTGGTGGCTGCCATCACAGTTGTTATTCTCCTTGCACAATCCCATAGCACTGGCCCTATAGGACGCAGCTGTGGCAAAGCCCTGTCTGCAGACCTCTCAGTCCTGCCCTTTGAGGTCACCCAGGCCACCAGAAACACGCAGCTCTTTCCTTTCTGTCTCCATCTCAGAGATCCGGAGTGCGGTGGATGATGCTAAAGCAAAGCATCCCCTAAAGCCCCGTCTTGGGGAGGAGCTACAGGTGACCAGCGTGACCCCAGACTCTGTGAGCCTCTCGTGGACAGTCCCTGAGGGCCAGTTTGACTCCTTTGTGATCCAGTACAAGGACAGAGACGGGCAGCCGCAGGTGGTGCCTGTGGAGGGCAGCCTCAGGGAGGTCCGCATCCCGGGCCTGGACCCAAACCGCAGGTATAAGCTCCTGCTGTACGGACTGCACCAGGGCAAACGTGTGGGTCCCATCTCTGCCATCGCCATGACTGGTGAGTGAGGCTGTGGCCAGAGTATGCCGTCCCTCCTTCTGGCTTCAGCTCGCCTGGCCTGACCCAGTCAGGGGATTTCTGAGCTTCCCATTTCCCTTCTTTTAGGGGAAGGGATGAGGTTTATCGAGGCATAATTTACATACAATTTTGTGTGAACAATGAGTGTTGGTAAATGTCTAAGTCATGAAACCATTGCAACAACTGAGATATAAAACATTTCCGTTGACCCAAGAAACCCATTTCCCCATGCCCCTTTGCAATCAGTTTTCCCAAACCCAGCCTCTGGCAGCCACTAACTGTTTTCTCTCCTTACAGTTTTGCCTTTGTAAGCATCTCTTTTAACAGCACGTACAATACATATTCTGTGCTTGGTTTCCAATCCCTTGGAAACTCATCCGCCTGTATCGTAGTTGGTCCTTTTTATTGCTGAACTCTTGCCGTCACGTCCTTCACTCTTTGCCTCGTTCTCTCTTCTTGGAGAGTCTTGCAATGACAGACCGGTCACCCATCTCTCCCTGTCTCTCTGAACCAGCCTCCAGAGAAGATATCGAAACCGAGGCCCTAGGTCCTCCAGGGCCTGAGCCCCGCCTAGGGGAGGTGACTGTGGAGGAAGCCATGCCAGACACCTTGCATCTCTCCTGGACAGTGATGGAGGGAGATTTTGACTCCTTTGAGGTCCAGTACACAGACAAAGATGGGCAACTCCAAGTAGTCAAAGTAGATGGTGACCGGAATGACATCATCCTTACTGGCCTGGAATCTGACCACAGATACCTGGTGACCCTGTATGGTTTCCATGGCCAGCAGCGTGTGGGTCCTGCCCACATTGAGGCCCTCACAGGTGAGCAAGGAGAGCTCTGCTACCTTCCAAATGGCTGTGAGAGCGCAGAGGAGAGCAGTGTCCCCATGGTCATCCTGCCCCCCACCCCTCTGTCTCTCTCTCTCCTGTCTCTGTTCAGTCCCAAGGGAAGAGGAGGATGAACCTTCAGAACCTCCCATCAAGCCACAGCTGGGGCAGCTGGCAGTGACAGA